AAAAAAAAATGAAATGGCACGCGCCACGAGCGCCGCCTGTTCAATTTCTTATCCTTGCGATTTGCCTTTGGCTCATGTTGCCATTTGTGAGGCATTTTTTTGTTTTCTTTCTCTTTGCTGCCGCTTCATCTTGGGCAAGCGGCCGCGCAGATATTCCTAGTGAGAGAGGGGCGTGCGTCCGTGACTCGAAGGAAGGGGAAGGGAGCGAAATCGCACACATACACACACAGAGAGAGAGAGAGAGGAGAGAGAATCATACGCATTGGCACGTGTAGGAAGAGGCCCAAGAAAAGGAGACGAGGAGGGGAAGGCGTTTTTTTTTGTCGTGGTGACGGCAGGGCGTGTGGATGCGGCGGGNATGCGGCGGGAAGATCTGCTGCAGGCACTGTTGGTCCGCTTTGTCGACCCGCAGCGGGAGGAGCAGGACTGGCAGCTGATTGCCGCCCTCTTCTACTCGCTCACCAAACTTCTTCTCCCCGCTCAGCGTCTGGAGCAGTTGTACTACCAATACCTCCAATCTCATGGTGGGCGGGCTGCGATGGAGGCCGCCTGCAAGGAATACGAATTGCAGTTACAAACACGGCTTCGACAACGCGCCGCTAACGCTGAGGGGCCTAATGTTACAGTGGCGATGGGGGGTCATCGCGTGAGTTCTGGCTCTGTGGTTTCACCGCGTGGTGCTGCAGGTGGGTTTTTGCCGCCTATCACAACCGGTCTTGGCCCTTCACCGAGCGGCAGCAGCGGCGGTGCTGGCGTGACCGGTGCGGGGGGTGGCGGCACCATGGCGCGCCTTTTCACTTCCTTGCCGGCGGGCGGCGCGGAGGGCACAGACGACGGCAGTTTTCCCGTTGGCGCCGCACTGCAGCAACTGACGGCGGAACAGCGCAAGCGCTGGCACCGACTGCGCCAGGAGCCCATCAGCCCTGATGTTCTCATTGCGCTGGTGCAGAGCTTTACTTTGGTGGAAGGTGCTGCAGTGTTTTTGGCCCCTGTGTGCCCGTCGACGGTGATGGAGTTCAACGGCATTTCTTCCGGTCCATACGCTGAGGTCGTCGTGCGCCCGCTCTCTCTAATGGGTATCAAAAGTCGTGTCTTGGCCGCGCGCCGCGACTATGAACTCCGCAAGCGTCAGACGCAAACCAATCCTTCCCCAGCCAGCACCGACACAAACGCAACAACGCGAAAGCGGGGGCGACCCCCAGCGTCGACAGTCGCAATGGTGGAAACGAGTGAAGCAACAGGTGCGAACGCCGGGGTGAGTGATGACAAGGAGGCGATTCGGACACTACAGGAGCTTGAGCGGGCTGTTTGGCATATCGCCGCTAACTGTGTCGTCTTTAACGCTCCGGAGTCTTATTACCCCTTAACGGCTAGGCAATTTGCCGTTGCGTGCATGGAGATTATTGATGGGTACTGCTTGCAGCGAGTGTTGGGTGCGTGAAGCGTCTATGGTTTTTTGCATCTAACTTGATTTCCAAGAAAATCACACAACGTTTAAAGATCGACTCCTAAAAAAAAACCCCTGCTCCTTCCCCCCTCTCAATAAAAAAGGGACCAATAGAAGAAAAAGGGATATTGAAAAAAAAAAAAGACTTGGGATGCCTTTGTTTCGCATCACTCTTTCGGCTGAAACGGAAGGGGTTGCCTCCATTCGGCCAGCTCGGCCGCGCAGTTGGGGGCTGAAGGTTGTGTGCGACAGCTGCCGGGAAGT